CTTCCATGTGGGCTTTGTTGCTTCTGAGCTAGATGGCCACTTTATTTACCTTCAAGCCTTTAAGACCCCAGATGCTATATCTTTTGATAGCCAGGCACTATCAGCTTTCTTCACATTTGCTTATGCACCTGCTGTGTCTTCAGCGATTGTGTCAGGCAGGTGAGCATCATGGAATGCCAATTTAATATAACAAAGTATTCTTGCATTGAGGGAGTACTTGAGTGGAGGCCCAGTGTCCATCTGCTACCTTAATACTAAACCTATAAATAGATGCACATAAATGTATTTCCCCATCCTCATATATATTTACATATATACATGCCTTTATTTAGACCTCTATAAATGCCCTTTGCCTCCTAGCTCTTTCCTCTATTTCCTTTTATTTCCTCTTGTCCACTATCATGCTCAGTCTTCATTTGGGTCCAAACATTCTTTTCCTCCTGGTTTCCCTTTGACTGCCCCCACCCCCACCCGAAACCCTGTTCTGCTCGCTGTCCCTATAGGCTCATCAACCTGGGTTTCATATCCCCAAACACAGAAAAACATGTAACACAACTCCAAGAGGGTGACCTCTTGGTCATTTTTCATGAGCTGTAAATGAGTTATTTACCCTCTTGGTCATTTTTCATGAGCTGTAAATGAGTTATTTCCCCCCCATGTTCCCCTCCCATTTATCCAATGGGGTTGCGTCGTGGAGTATATGTTATCAATACCTTTGTACACGGAGCTGGCATGGCTTGGCCCTGAATTAGCTGGCAGTGTGACAAATGTTACAGACGGTTTACTTTAATCCTCGCTTGTTTCCCACGGTGGACCTCACGTTATGGCTGGTAGACTGTGTCCACCTGCAGCCTGTTGGCTATAGCACGTTCTACTGAGAAGGAGCCACCGCAGCCCCACAGTGCGGACCGACGTCTTCACGCCCCAGCAGGTGTGGCAAAGGCCGAATGGCCCACAACACGTAACATAGTTACGGTCGGTCTGGCTCTAATTCAGGTCGTTTGCGGACCCCTCCTTTAGATACTTGAGGACAAGAAGTTAGGCCGCTGTACCCTTCGGTGAGAAAGGGAGAGGCATCCGTTTTCCCTCCCCTCCAACCTCCCAACCGGTGTTTCCTGTGGGATCCAGGTGCTTGTCTCTGAGGGGAGCAGGGGGACTCCGTCTGCTCTCAGTTGTCATCAACGGGGAGGAGATGCCAGCTAGTGTCGGTCTCCCTTCAGCGCCAAGGCCCGTGTTCTGATCGTGGGTGGGGAGTGCTGGCGTGCTCTCCGTCGTCTGCACACCACGCTCGGAGCTCACCCAGGCTCTCATCTGTGCGAAGCAGCATCTGTGCCTGGCTGGCGATCGCTTCTCCTTTGCACGATTGGGCCCCGTGGTGGTTTTCTCCTGGTACAGACGCAGGAAACGATCATCTGAGTTGGCAAATGCATACCGTCTTGCTAAGGGAGACAGCGGTTAGTGATTATAGAAACCACAGTATCTAACAGCCTCGTCTTAAGGGAAGGAAGCACTTTTTCTCAGAACATTCAATGCCAGTGTCGACCAAAACGTACTGCACGATCTTTCTAAAAATAAAGTTCTCAGAGCAACACTTCTTTAGTGAATTCCTTTTGTACTCCATCCTGGTTGTGTAGACCTTACAGCTTCTCAACATCAGTTATGGGTAGCAGACTAGGGTCTCTTTCTCAGGTGTTCGACTTTAAAATATCAACCTGCCTAGGAACTTAAAAGGTTGTGGTGCTTTGAGTAGCCATGTGATGTCCCCATTCCCAGATTTCAAACCCCCGCCCCCCCCCCCCCATTATTGCCTCTGTCGCCCGTGATGGCTTCTTGGGGCAAGGCAGGGCCACGTGGGAAGCTTGCGCTTCCCAGAGGCTTCAGATGTTCACAGGCATTTGATGATTATAATAATACATCATTGACGACACCTGGTAAACAGAGGCATTTACCAGGTAGATTTTATCATCTCAGCACCCAGAAACCATAAATGCCAACATGCTAATGTAATCTTTATCCCTGTTTCTTGGGCTGTAGATATGAAAGGGCTTCCAAAGTTCGTGGAGATGCTATTTTTAAGAATTCTGCTTCCCACCCACTCTTTGAAGCCCTCACATGGGTTATGCTTGAATACCCTTTCATCGTGTGTGTTCTACCCTCCCCACTTTGAGGATCAGCCTCAAAAAGGAGTGAGTGAAGTCCTCCTGTGTTCTCTGCTTCTCACGTAACAGAGACGCAGCCTTTGGTTAACGTCCATCCTATGAGTGGCCAAAACCTCAGTGTTGGTACATTCTGATGTTTTCTGTTGATAGGTGTGATCAGGTTAGTTAACATCAGCTTTCCCCCCTCCAAAACAAGCTTAAGTTCCCCGATTCTGGTGATAGTGGGTTATATTGTTCATAGAAATCTCCACGTGTCCCCAAAGTGGTGAGAGCAAAATTGTTTTTTGAATACAAACACACACACACACATATAAATATCTATGAGGAGCCTTCCAAAAGCTTGTGGAGATATGGAATTGAAAGATAATGGAATTATGTAACTGATTTGTCTCTCCCCTTCCCTTTATACGGGGCGGCTTCAAAAAGTGTCTGGGAATACTTCTTGAAATTTTTCCACACACACTTTGAAGTCCCCTCATATACCAAGAAAAAGGCCTACCTGTTTTAATCAAAAAGGAGCCCTGGTGGCATAGTGGATTACGTGTTGGGCTCCAAACTACAAAGTCAGCAGTTCGAAACCACCAGCGACTCTTTGCAAGAGAGGTGAACCTTTGTACTCTCATAAAGATGTGTAGTCTTTGTGGTAGTTACATAACTTCACATCAACTTGAAGCTACAGCAAAGCGTAGGGGTGCAGTTCAACCTGTCAATCAGGCCTAATGGTGCCTCCTTGTGGGCGTGGCCGTCTCAGGAACCTCCCCTTCTCTTTCTGCCTTCACCTTCCTGCTGGCCGACCCTGGTTGCTGCCAGAGCCCTGGAGACGCGTCCACCACCAATGGATCCATAAGACTCTGTACCCACTGGCCCATGATATTCCTGCATCCTGCATCATTGCATGTGGCTATGTGAGTCTCAAGAGGGACTTACGGATGAGTATCGGACTTACAGCCTTGAGTTGGACTGGGGTGGGCTGTTTTCTTGATACAGAATTACTTCTTGATATAAAGCTCTTTCTTACACATATATATATATATGAGTGTCACTGGATTTGTTTCTCTGGGCGACCCGGCCTAACACAGTTCACTCTAGTCAGTCATAGGGGTCACTGTGAGTCAGAACTGACTGCGTGAGTCACGCCAGTTGGTGAGTTAGTTTTAACCATGTATCTAAAATAATAAGACTAGCAAGGACCCAGGGATGGCTTGTGCATTATATTTCCTTGACCTTCTTTCTGGACCTCTGAAAGCTGATCCCAGGGCAACCTGTTAGAAACACAGGTGCTGTCTCTTTCATCTCTTCCTTTCGTTTGAGCCTGCTAAATGAGCTGGTGCAGCCCTGCCTTTGAATTTGAAACTTCCAACTTCGACCTTTGACAGCAGACTGAACTTGAACTTGGCATTATTGAGCTCTCTGGGGGGAAGTGCAGAATCCACCTGTCCCGTATGGCTCAGACACATGCTGCTGGCAGACATCTTTTGGATGCAGCTGGCCAAAAGATGGTATTCTATGTGAAACTGGTGTAAGGCACAGAATCATATTCAGCTGTCTTGACTTGAAATGCATCAGAAAACATTATGGGATAAACACTAAGCTACCCACTTCCCTCTCATTAAACATACAAGGTCACCACATTTGGAGGCAGGAACTGCTAAGCGTTATCCGTTTGTGGAAGTGAAAGTCTTCCTCCGCCTGGCACCGGTGCTGGCTGCTGTCCAGGGGCTGCTCAGAGTCCAGTGCATGCTAGCAGTCAAGGGAAACCTTGAACCAGCCGCTGCTTGGCTTTCTTAGGGATGTGGGAAGGGCCAGGATTTAACCCTGGTGGTTGCAGCAAGAAAACATTCCCTGGAAGTGGTCATGTTGTTGTTGTTGTCCAAAGTACGTGAGACAGAGTCTCACCATCCTTGCCTCAAGGAGCATTCTGGCTGCACGTCTTCCAAGACGGCTTTGTTGGTTCTTTTGGAAATAAGTGTTAATATCTCCTTGTATGATTATGCTTCTGTCTCATACCCCAGGCTCCTTTAAATTGAGTTTTAAAAACAATACTGAACGTTTGGACCAGAGAAAGGGCAGGGGGTCCCAAGTGCTCACATAGGAATTCTTCCTTCTGGGCTTACTCCTCCCCCCTCCCCTACCCCCTGTGATTTTGTGAGTTTCTGAGTTGGAGCCTGGCCACCTGCTCATGCTTCCGTGGCTTCCGTAGTCTGTAACTCTGCTGAAATTCCTATAGTGTGTTCTTCGCTCGCCCCTGGTCTTCTGTCCATCTTAGCCCTTTGGGCCTTTGCTCGCTTCCTCTGCCTGGGCAGCCTTCTGCCCTTTGCTTGGGCCACACTGGTCTCACGGTACCTGGGCGTTCTCTTCGGCAGTCTCTCACTTCTCTGGTCGCTTTCATGGGTCTTGTTTTCCACAGGTAAATGTAATAATGGCTGCGGTGTAAAATGTGAAAATAAAAATCATTTATAAATGTTTTGGAAATGATGATGGCAACATATATGCACAAGTAGGCGTAATACAATTGAATGATGGATTGTTTTAAGAGCTGTAAGAACCCCCAATAAAATGATTTATTAAATTTGTTGCATTTTGGTGACTAAAGCCAGTTAATCCATGACAGGTGGATGCTGACACTGCTGATCCTCTTAAGACAGGGGTGGGGAATGATCAGCCCTCAGGCTGCATAAGGCCTGAGAAATTATCAAGACCAGCTAACGTCACACACCACACACCTCACACCTCACCAGAGAGTAGCAGGTCCAGCCATCACTTGCCCTGCCATCTGACTCCTAGCGACCCATCCCGTGGGTTTCCGCTACTGTAACTGCTCACGGAGTAGAGAGCTCCGTCTTTCTCCCGAGGAGCCGCTGGTGGATTTGAACTCCTGACCATGCAGGTAACAGTCCAACACTTGAGTACTACTTCACCGGGGCTCCCTAGCATCACCTTCGAGGTGAACTAATGAAACGTTTGACCAGTGTGGCCTGGAGTGATGTTGTAAAGATCCAAAGGCCTTTGACAGAAAAAAGTGTTGGCCAGGCCTGCTCTACGAGTGGTTCTTCCAGGAAGGGGAGGGACTTGTCCATCAGGCCGTTCAGTCTTTAGGGCATCGCTGCCGGGCTCTGGCCGGGCCAGAGAGAAGAAAGGAGGCCCAGAGTATGTGCGCAGACAAGTGGGATGAAGGTGAGAGTCCACCTGCAGCTCTTCAGCTCTTGCCCACGGCTGCAGTCCCTCTACTCACTGCTCCCCGCCGCGCCCCCCAAGTTCTATTTGGAACTGGTCAGCTCCTTCCCAATCTCTGGGTGTCATCTCTTTAGTAGCCTTGGTGAGTTCCAGAGCAGAGCTGTAAGCTGCAGGAAGAAAGACACTTTTTGTACATAGTCTTCTTGCTATATGTCTGGTACTTTTTTTTCATGAAAAAATGCTGGCTATGATGCACTAAATGAACATCATGTCACATTAGTGGGTTCAGAACATTAGTGTGAAAAGAGCTGGCGTCTCCTGCACATATAGGGGAGATTCTCATTTCTTCACCCGGATTCCTCTTCCCTTGCAGCCCATGTTTCTTCTTCTCTCGGCCCTTACAGCTTCCACTTCTGCCCAAAGTGCTCGTCAGCCCTGCTGTGGTCTCATTCATTAAGTCCCTCCCTTCAGAATATAGATTCCTGTTTCATATCCTTGCTTCTGTCTTCCATGGCCTGGACTGCTCCTACTAGTGCATGAAGAGCAATAGGCTTCGTACAATTTTCGAAATGGTAACAATCCAATTTGTATTTCCAGGACACAATGGAGGCGAGGCGAGTTGCTGTGGTTAGAGAACATTCTAATTGAAATGGGACAGGAGTGTCAACATGTTTTCAAACATATTTAAGAGATCCCGAAGTCATTTAAGTCAAGTTGTCTTTATTAAGTGAATACAAAATACCATGGGTTTTAAAAGCTGACCTCTTATGCCATTGGTCGCCTAAGGTAAATAACAGGATGGTTTTAAGTCACAACGAAGGGTACATCTGGTGCAGACTGAGCTTACTCAGGCTCTACAGCCTCCAAGTTCTCATCCATGAGCAGTGTAAATCGGTTGCTTCCCTTATACAAACATCCAGTACCTGAGGCGGTTCCTGCTCTGGTCTTTGACCGGCTGGTACCTTGTTTCTTCTGCCTTTTCTTTTTGGAATGCGATCGACTCTTCGGTTGGAACACTTCGGGCGGGGCGTATGGCTGCATGGCATGGAACAGAAGTTCATACAGTTGCTTTGCCTCGGGACACGTGCTCAGCAGACTGGCTGCCGACGCTGTGGGCAGCAGCTCGTGGCACAGTCCGTGCACCAGGCTTCCGTTATACAAGCTGTCAAAGGGAGACAGAAGCATGGCGAGAGCTTAGGTTCAGGGCACTTGGCAACGGCCGCCAACGTGGCAGACATGATAGAGGCAAACACACAGAGAACTTGCGTGGCGTCTGAAAATTATATCAAAAATGATTTCAGGATAGCCTGTTCCCTGAAGGAAAGAACTCAGTAGGTGCTTATTACAAAGATGAGTTATTGGCTGGGTGGTCTTGACTCACTTTATCTGCATGTGAAATGGTGAATGCTAACTGGTTTGCCTACAGGCCCCAAACCAGAGGTGATCTAAAGAGGAACATACGGAATCTATAGGTCAGAGGTCAATTAACCCTCGAGTAGAGGGCTCTAGGGCCTTCTCAGTGTGAGGCCCATACTGCAAGGACGCATTTCACCTCAAAACATTTAAAATCCTATCAGCATATTGTGTCTGTCTGGAGAGCACTCATTCACTCACCATTTGAGGCGAAGGCCTCTGTGCTAGGCCCTGGGGCCTACACGGTCAGTCGCTGGCCATCTGTCCTCACAGAGCTTACATTCCAGGGGAGAGACACACACACTAGGTGATCTAAGGGATTCATTCTCTCCCCATCCCTTTTTTTACCGCCTAGGGTGACAATCACCTGGCGTGACAGACAACCCATCGATCCCACCCCTTCTTTCACTGGCCGGCCCTCTGCCACTATCCTTTTTGAACTCTGACCCAGCGTAAGCAGTCCAGGGGGCATAGTGGTTACACATTGGGCTGCCAACCTCAAGGCCAGCAGTTCAACACCACCAGTCACACTCCTCGGGAGAACAAAGAGGCTTTCTACTCCTTTAAGGAGTTAGTCTCAGAAACCCAGGGAGGCAGTTCTACCCCGTCCTCTGAGGTCATTGCGAGTCGCCATCAACTTGATGGTGGTGAGTTTTGTTTTGTTGTATCCAGCTTAAACTCCATCCTCAATGTGACCACAGGGCCATGTCACCTGCTTCCTCTCCCTTCCCACTTGCCTGGCACACCGGGCAGCCCTGGATAAAGCTCCCAGGGCAGCTAACACTCATCCCCTGGAAGGAACCCCACGAGAACGGAGATGCTGTGTGTGCACTCCCCCTCCCGAGTAGGTACTTAACTCTACGAATGGGCGGACTAGGGACGGGGTGAAGAACAAGTCAGGCGGTGAGAAGCCCTACAACACCCAAACAAAGAAAGTAATGGGGACGAGAGTGGCTGGGGGGTGGAGCGGAACCCTATGGGTGTCACACAGGGTGGTCAGAAAATGCCTCGTTAAGATGTCACCGGGAACAGAGACCTGAAGGGAGTTGGAGAATGAGCGCTATCCTGTCAACGACTGCCGCTCCCCATCCTCATGCTAGTGTTTTATGCTAAGGAACTTACCTTGTGTGTGTGTGTGTGTGTGTGTATGTGTCTTACTGTCTTACTGGATCAAATCATGGGCCCATACTTTGGAAATACAGAAATCACGAATTTTCTTTTCCAGCGCTTCAGCTAGCATGGTGACCCCCAGATCAACGACGCCAAGGCTAGTTATGACAAAGGAACGCTGCTTCAAATAGAGAGTTTTCGTTCTCCTGTGTGTCGGCCTGAGCGCAGGTGGCTCGGGTGCTTACCAAGTCAGGTCTGGCTCCGGGAAGGGGCTGGACAGCAGCTGGTTGAGATAGAGCGCCATCTGCAGGCAGGACTGCCACTGGCAGAAGACATGGGCCGCATCTAAATCCACCCTCCCGCTCAGCCGCGTGCGCGCCTTCACCGCACACAGGTCTCTGTACAGCGTCTCGGCCCCTTTCCCCCTCTCATCTTCGGTATCTGGAGAAAGAAAACAGCCCGCGGGCAGTATTTACCCAAACGGGAGTCAGATTCAACTCTGGTGCCGCGTTTGCGTTTGGTTTTTATCCTCCACGTTATCCAACGGCAAATTCCATTAAGGAGAAAATTAGTTGTCGAGACCCAAGTGTTTTTCTCTTTGGGCTCTTTATTAGTTGGACCTCAAAGTAAAAAGCGTGCTTGTTTAAAAATTTGTATAGACTGATCTCTTCAACTTTACTGAACCCAAATAATCCATTTCACCCTTGAAATCATTTCTCTTCCTCTAGTTGACTACTGGACCTTAAGCACATTTACATCTGGAGTCTCCAAATCCTCACTCTGAGAAAAATGCAAATTGCTATTAAATAGCATTCTCCAAGTCCTAACTGTGTGAACAATACCAATTCTCAATAAGTATCGTTCTCTGAAGGATGATGGCAACAAATGTACAAATGTGCTTGACACAATGGATATATGTATGGATTGTGATAAGAACTGTATGAGCCCCCAAAATGATTTTTTAAAAAACCATCGTTCTCTGTACTGTTCCTTTTCGTTAAACTTCCTGTCATGGAGACCCCGATAGCACAGTGCAGTAAGAGTGAAAAGAAAGCGAGACAGCAATGGTCAGAGCATAACCCGTCGGTCTGTATTTTATAGGAGGAAAGTGAGAAGCATAACTCAGAGAAGGTGGGGAACAGTCGCCGTCAGGTGTAAAGGATAAGGGGCGAGTCAAGGAGAGGAATGCATCTGCGCATGCTCAGGAGAAAGAGGCGGCTTTCTACTCCTGCAGTCTCAGAAACCCACAGGGTTTCCGCCTGTGCAGTTTGGCCCTGTCCTATAGGGTTGTGAGTTGGACTTGACGCCACAGCAGTGTGTGCGTATGTGTGTGTTTAGTGTATGCTCAGCTATGCGCTTCTGCAGGCTGGCTTGAGTAGGCGGCAGTAGTGGCACATAGATCAGCTCGAAGGTAATGCCAAGGCGGCCGCCATGGACCAATGAGTGAAGAGCAGCGCACAGAACCTGCCTGGAGGCAGGCCCACGGCCCCAGGGAAAGAAACACCTTCTGTTGGCCTGGCTAAAGGCTGGTGCTTGGAGATTTGTGGGTGCTTATTCAGTGGGTGCAAACACCCCACCAACTGTTGTCAGGTTGATTCCTACCTGTTGTGGCTCTGCATGTGTCAGTGGAGAAATTGCCCCATTCGGTTTTCAATGGCTGAGTTTTCAAAACTGGATCATTCAAATATCATCAGGTCTTTCTGCTGAGATGCCTCTGGGGTGGGTGGGGTTTTTCTAACCTTTCAATTAGCAGAGCTCACCTGTCAGTCCCAATCAGGAGGCACTTAAAGCAGGAGCGGGGTTGTAATCATTTTATTTCTCTCCGATAACAGTCCCTCTGACAGGTACTCTCAGACTTGAGTCTTAAAACCTGACATGTCTTGTGGTCTGTCATGGATGGAATTGTGTCTCCATTTTGGGAACCGGGATCCTCCCGTGGTTTGGCAGTGAGGTGCTGATGTGGTTTAACAGTTATGCAACAATCACCCAATCGGTGCTCTAGTGAGATGAAGCAATTATACGAGGATTGGGGCGAAACACCCTTATTCAAGTCCAAGCCCTGACCTGACACAATGGTAGGGGAGTTTGCCTGGGGCATGGGCTGCATGAGAAAATAGACATGGAAGATAGAAGAAGTTCGGTAAGCAACCCGGCGAAGTGTACTCCTGGGAATCCCAGATACCTACCAGGGCCGTCGATCATGGCATGCAGGGGCCCCACCAGCATCCCCAGCAGTAAGGCCTCTACGTGAAGAAGCTTTGCCTGGACCTCTGGGTGCTGCAACCAGTAGCAACTGACAGCCACGGGCAACCGGAGCGAGTCCGGGACAGGGTCCAGGGTGGTCCACTTCACCTTCAGGGTTTCTAACAGAAGCAACTCTCGTTTGTCAGATGGAAGCTGAAAACACACAGCCAGTAGCCGGCGGTTACTGTGGGGAAACCTTTGCTTTCCCCTTAGCGTGAAGAGAGTGCCAAAGGGACTCGCCGAACCGCTCATCATCCAACTCATCTTCCTGTGGAAACGAAACCAGCTACCCTCAAAGCACTTAGAACATTAGTTAAGTATTTGATACTGCTGGCAGAGTGACTGTCCTGTCTAGTCGAGCTATACAGCCTAAGCTCATGCCATTCTGGACCCTCTATCGAGTGTGGTGAGCCTCTGAGTTCTGTGTGCACATCAAACAAGCCGGGGTGTGTGGCCAAATTTACACCCTTGGTGCCGTGGCCTTGGCCAGGTTTGATGCTCTATACATCTCAGGGAGCCTAGGAACCTCTGAGCCACCAAGATCTATACTCCTGGAAATCCTACCCTTCCTTGTTTCCATGGGCTCTACTTTCTCCACGGGAACCCTGAACACATAGCGGTTATGCATTGGGCCACTAACTACAAGGTCAGCAGTTCAAATCCACCAGTTGGCCCTCAGGAGAAAGACTTGGCTTTCTACTCCTGTCATGAGTGATGGGCTCAGAAACCCACAGGGGCAATGCTGCCCTGTCCTGTAGGGGTGATGAGTCACAACTGACTCAATGGCAGTGGGCTTACCTTCTCTGTGAAGCCAGCCCTTCTGTCACCTCAAAAGGCAGACTCTGTGTGGCACAGCAAGGGACCTATTTGGGTCTTGCTTCACATCCCTCCACAGCTTGAATGCCTACTTGCCTTTGTGTTTTCCCAGAGGACACTGTGCTTAACACCCCACCTCTCCCTCGCATAGTCCCCACACCTCCTTGCTTTGTGGTGGTGCTGAATACGGTATCTGCTGCCTGAAAGGCCGGTGCCTCAAAGCCACCGGCTGCATCACAGGAGGGAAGGCGAGGCTGCCTCCTGGTGAGAAGATTTACAGCCGCAGGTCCCTTCTATCGGGTGGCTGTGAGTCAGGTGACTCACCGACAGTGGGCTGGGCTGCACCCTGCTTGCAATGATACACACCTCACTCTGTGGTGCACTTGAAATAGCATCACCATTAAGCACTAGACCAGTCTGATTCAGGCTTCCTGGTGACACAGTTTTACGTAATTTAGGGAGTCGCCAGCATCTCAGAACCATGAAGGATCTTGTAGGTAACAGGCTCTTATCAAGAGACCAAGCTGGCACCTTAGAAGGTACCTTCAGGGGGACTTTACACTCCCACTTTAAGAGGAAAAGAGGTTGTAGTCCTAGTACCTACATACTGCCAGAAAAAGATTTCTTCTGAAGTTTCTGCAAGGATGAGAGAGCCTGGCACATTTCTCAACACCTGGTGGCACCCGGCTAGTTGGGGACTGAGCAACAGCTTAAAATAGAGATGCTAACCTGCTATACACCAGGAGCGGTCAGCATTTGCCAAATTCTCTCATCAGTGCACAAAGAGCGTCAGAGAGTGGAATAGCTAAAGACTTGTGATTAAGTTTTTGACAAGGATGATGCTTTAAAAAAAAAAAAGAAATATTAGCTACTTACATTTAAAATAAAATCTACTCCTTATATGTCCCTAAACTGGTAGCAGACCTCCCTCAGTTTGTGGTAGTAAGCAAGGCTCTATATCTGGAACTGTGGCTGCCCAACGGTAAAAGCGCTCAGCCACTACCTGAAAGGCAGACAGTTCCAACCCAACAGCCATCCGGCCTGGGCTGGGGGCCGGAGGAGAAAGATGTGTCTGCTCCTCTGAAAGTTGACCACCAGCTCCGGACACCCCAGGGGCCAGGTGCAGTGCATTGGCATGGAAACCACAAGGGGTTTGCAGCGCAGGATTCTAACCTGCACCTCACCTTCCGTGGTTACCGGGCTCACCTCGGCCAATTTGCCTAAATCCGACTGCTCCTTCGGCAGTCTCACAGCGTGAACCACGGACGTCTTGATGTCCTTCTGGTTCCTCTCCACTTCGCTGACGGCGACCGGTGAGGACGCCCCCGAGGGCCTGCTCTGCGGGCGAGGGTCGGCGCTCAGCAGGAGCGCGTAGATGGCCTGCCGGATGGGCTGGGACGTTCGGTGGGCACTGGGCCGCTGCATGCTTTCCACCTGCGGCTGGAGAATGGTCCTCCGCAGCACCAGGGCGTCGCTGATGAAAGGCGAGAGCTGGCCTCGCGCCAGGGCCGCCAGCACCCACCCGGGCAGGCCGAGCTTCGGGGCGTCGGGGCAGACGCCGGCGCCGTGCTGGAAGAAGTCCTGCAGCTTCGCGGGCGACGGCTCGTAGTCTTGCACGGCCCGGCCGAGCAGCGCCCGCGCCTGCTCTCGATCCCGCGGCGGGAGGCACTGGACCACGTGCTCCAGCGCCTGCGCTGGGCCGGCACAGCGGGACAGCCAGTGCAGGAGCGCCACCAGCCGCTGGTGCCTCCGCCCCTTGGGGGCGGCCGCTCCGACGCGCGGCGGCAGCTGACGCAGCACCGCCCCCACGTCGGGCGTGCTGACGTAGTCGTTCCCACAGAGCACCGCGAAGAGCGGCAGCAGCGCTCGGTTCGGGTGGCCGAAGTGGCGGCACAAGGCGTCCGCGGAGAAGCACGCGGCGGGGACGTAGCGGTGTGGCGAGCCTGTCGCAGCAGTCACGTGTCTCCACTGAAAGCCACTCAGGGGGCAAAACCCAGCTTTCAGGTCAAAGATGCAGAAGTCGCTGTCGGACGACAGCACGGGGCAGTTCCAGTGGTTGGCCAGCGTCGTGATGTCCCGGTCGGCCTCGGAAAAGCACTGCACGAAAGGGACCTGCGCCCTGATCAGAACCTGCAGGAAGACTTCCCGGAGGAGTAAGGGGCACACAGAGCCAGCCCGGCCCAGTGAGAGGGCGTGGGCCAACTCGATCTTCTTTCTGAGGCGGTCCTTTAAAGTCGCAAGCTTTTTATCCGAAATGTCACACCCGCCGTCCAGTATCACGTAGGGACGGATGTTACAGGCAAACAGGGATGCAAAAAACTCCTGTGCCACGTCGGCGAAGGAATCGTAGTCGCCGCCATAGCGGAGCTCCAAGCCCGAGTTGAAGCAAAGCCAGTGGAAGAGGGAATAGGCGTCGATGATAAGGTTTGTGTCCCGCAACTTCAAGTCCGTGAAGAACTCCTTGCGGTGATCGTCCACGAAGCTCATCAGCCCCCGGACACCCATGAGCAGAGTCTGAAGAAGGCCCTGCTACAAACAATCGGAAACACTGTCAATTGACATCGGGTGCGATCGCCTCCAACACCATGAAAACGGCGATGCTGTAAAGCAGGGCTCCTTAAGAAGCTGGTAACACGTGCATTAACAAGCACTTCCCCAAACACCTCGGATTCATTACACGTTTGATTTTGAATTACTTTTCGGTCGTTACGGCGTTTGGAAACCTTTTACCATTGCCACATTTCCCCCAAACCCCCTCATTCAGTTAGTTACTCCACCGCCATATGAGGTTGAAGGTCACAGTTCAAGAAGCTTCACCATAAAGCGGGGCTTCAAACCACTTCTTCCCGGTTCAGTCATGAACAGAGGAAGCAAAATCCACACAAGTGCACCTTTTAATGGTTTTTAATGAATAGTTTTTCACCAGACCTGAATTTTTTAAAAAATTGGGTGAACTGGAATGACAACCGGAAGAGGAAAAGATTACACGATGAAGCCCTGCTGGAAACGGATTCTCCTTCTTAGAAAACAGGGGCCGCGGTGGCGTTGCATAGCAACCGAATCTCTTGCCCCTCGGATTTTCAGCCGACTTGGAAGCTGAGGTGCCCAACTCAAAAATGGCAGCTGACTGAACCACGATGTGTGTGTGTCGCTCTCCACAGTTGTGCCAATAATCCAATCTCACCCATCACAGCTGTGAAAAACCTCATTACATCTCTTCTGAGTCCCGGGCTTGATCCATTGGATCTCCTATTCTGGTTACGGCCCTAGATTGCCCACATTTAAAACATTCTAGTCTGTCCCAGTTTCACTTCATCGGCGGAACCAAGACTACACCGGTACGTAGTCCAGCTCTAAAGCGTTCTTTAGAGAGAAAGTCTGAAGTGCCAGAATTTAAGAACACTCACCTACATCAGCAGACTGCACCAGCTAGCGAGCCACCTCGTCATTCTGCTTTCTTCGAGTGTACAAGGCACACACCCAAAGGTTTCACTGAGTTCTGATCCGAGGGGGAGGGGGCGCTATTGGTAATTCTAAAAGGAAACAAGTCTAAGTCCATCAGTGACACACCAGCATACTGTTTCTATCGTCTTAGCTGTGATACTGAGATACAGAGTAGTCATATCTTTTAACAGACAATTATTTTGTGGAGTCAAAGTAGAAAGTCCGGGGCTGTAAAAATAATAACCGTAACAATCTAAAGCTTAATAACAGGGACACATTGGCCTTCAGTTAACAAAGTGTGAAGGACCAATATTAGGGTTCTATTTTGCTTTGTTATTGAAAATCAGCCTGAGCATTTCAGGCCTGTGAGTTTCTGGGCTCTGCCAGTTAAAGGGGAAACTACTGCTCCTTGCCTCCAAGAACTCAATGCTCTGGTTTCACCCACCCAAAGGCTCTTTTCATCTTCTTGTCTTTTGCGTTACCTGCAACACTCTCACTTCTCCCATGAGTCTAATTTTGCTCATAGAATCCATCCAGTTACCCAGATGCTGTGAAGCACTTCTAACCCCATGTACGTCAGAGTACAGCTATGCTTTCTTGACAGGCTGACTTGGGGGCAGAGGATTGCCAGGCCTTTCTTTGGAGGTATTTATTGGTGGACTAGAACCTCCAATCTTGCCACAGGTTTGGTTAGAATCCAAGGGCAATAGCCATTTGCACCACCCAGGGAATCACTCACAGGATCAGTATAACTGATTAGTATTCATGGGGAATTGGTTCCAGGGCCCACACGAACACTAAAATCCAATAATGTTCAAGTCCCTTATAGAAAATGGTAGAGTATTCTTATATACCGTAGGTACATCTTCCTGTTAACTTTCAATATCTCTAGATTACTTATGTGTAATTCAATGTCAATAGCACTTCATGTTCCCTCTTAGGAAAGACGAGGCTCTCTAATCCCTTACAGAGTTACGTCTCTGAAACCCGCAGGAGCAGTTCTTGTCTGTCATTTAGGGGCATGAAGAGTCAGAAGCCACTTGATGGCAGTGACATTGGGTTTGGGCTATGAGGGATTGCTTTGACCATGTAATTGTGTTGTTCCTTCATTTTTGATCCACAGTTGAATCAGCAGATGTGGGGATATGGAGGGCATCTGGATTTCTTTGGTTTCAGGCTCCAATCAGCACAGCAGTTACGGATTCTGTCTTCAGTAAAAGCGGTGCCAGTAAGATTTCGAGGCGCTGCTGTACTGAAACGATTGTGCATCCAAGCCAGGTTCCCCGGCGGCCTCCTTTCCCTAAGGCTCAGGAAGACTCCTCCGGGTGCGTGTGAGTCCAGGGCAGCGCGGGAGCCCCGGAGGGCAAGCAGGGGCGGAGAACCTTGAAAACCGTGAGGTCCTCAGGCGCCCTGGGAAAACTTGTGTTGAATGCTACGTCAGGCACATTTCCCTGTTTACAGAGCCAGTCTGAGAGTGTCCTTGAGCCAGGCCCACTCTCCATTCCTGAGGCCCCTGGGGGACCCAGCCTCCAGCAGCCACCAATCATGAGCCCTCTTGCAGTTAAGAGGCCCAAACTGCTGGGTGTCACAGAGACCCGTGCTGGGCGCTTCTCACAGCTCACCCTGCATGAAAACCTTCCTGCCTTGGGTCCGATCCCACGCAGAGTGACCCCATAGGACCGAGTAGAACCCCTGTGCGTCTGTGGAACTGTAAATCTCGTCTTTCTCCCTCATCTAGCCTAGGTGGAAGCCGGCACTTTCTCTCCACCCATTTTACAGGCAAGGAAACTGCAGCGCACACACCGGTTCAATAACTTGCTCAGGATCACATGACCAGTAAAGCAAAACCCATTGATGCTTTTTCCTCGATTTAGGGGCAGAGGGACCTCTGTGTCCTGATGGGGAGGAGGGTGTGGCGGGAAGGCAAATAAACAAAAAAAAAGCTGTGCCATTTGCATCAACTCTGATTTTTGTGTGTGTGCATAATTTTGATTTTTAAGAATACACCATTATATTGAGTTTGGGGCATCCCTTTATATCTTGCGCCCAACTCACTTCACCCTAGTTCCAGTCCTTTCTCTACCTCCGCATCCTGTCCTATGTAGTGTTAATTTCTTTACAAGTCTATCCTGCAAGCGGACTGTATCCATTCACCAAAAACCAATTTAGGGCACCTTACCCAAAGTTGCTCAACGAATGCATACTGAATGGAGGAAAGGAATATGGGCCAGGTTTCAAAAAGTCTATGCACAATTGGAATGGAAGGGTAATGGAACGTTTCTGCAGCATTTTGAAGGCCCCTTCCTAAATCCACGTCCTCAAAAGTAGGCCTCCACGTTAGGTTTGGGGGATGGTTTTCCCATTCTTGCTTCTCAGCGCTGAAAATCCTGCGGCAGAAGCACTTTTATAAGTCCAAGTAACTTTTATGAGGGAAAATGGGAGTTCCAGTTGATATAGTGTCAGATAGTACTCGCTATAGGAGGGTGTGGTGGCGGTGGTGAGGAGCTGCACTAGAGTGAGGGTTTGAGACCCAAACTGGCCTTCTGGGGAGCCAGGAAAAGCACGTGGAAATGGCCGGAAAGGAGGTGGGAAGAGTCTCAAAACCAAAAAAAGGGGTGTAGAACCGAAAGAGCAAAATCCTTCCCTCGGTTTCTGCTTTCTATCCCTTCCTACCCCCCCACGGGGCAGGGGTTAAAGGTGCTGGCTGTTCTTAGTGGGCGCGTTTAGGCGCATTTGTGACATAGTGTTGCTGGTTTCTAGTGTGCCTGCCCAGCTTTGGGTCTCCCCCACAGGCTTCGAATGTGTGCCTGATTTCTTTAAACCCCTTCATTTGTGGCATGGCCGGCTAATTTTCGTTTAGCATAGGTATGCAGTGGAGACGACCCCTTTCCCCCTAATCTCCCTGCCTGTCACATCCAGGTACCACCGCAACCCTCACATTCCGCCACTTGTCAGGCAGCAGACCCACCTTCTGCCTGGCCCAACCCCACCCCGGGACAAGGGAAGGGGAACCCAGGAAAGACTGCAAGCGCTGACCTGCGAGAACGCGTCCACGAACCGGAAGTCCGAGCATGACGTCACGGGGGAGCCCGGTTCCCAGGGAGCGGGGAAGTCCTTGGCGCCAGGTTGCTGGAAAAGGGCTTTCGGGGCTCAGAGGCAAGAAGTCACCAAAGAAAGTTGGGGAGCACCCCTCCACACGGCGACTGTCTGCTGAGGGCGCCGGTCGGCTGTTTCCTCCCGCCCACTGGGCTCCGCGATCGCTGCCCTCCGAGTGACAGGCCCCGGGACGCCCCGCCCCGAATTCCCGGCACGCCCCGCGCCGTCTCCCTGACGACGCGGATAAACAGAGCTGGCGGGCGGCGCTTCCGGGGTTCCGCAGGCGCCGCTGCCCGCGCGTTGAAGGCCGGGCCTCTGGGATGCGCCTGGGGCAGCCGCTCCTCTGCCAGAGACCGGGAAAGGTATGCCCACGGCGGCCCTCGGGACGTGTGGACGGTGGTGGTTCGAGCTGCACGCGCCCGGTGACCCCCCTTTTCAGCCCCATCCCCCGGCTTCCAAGTGCGGCCTCCTTACGACCTGATCTGCAATAAACCCCCAAACCCACACCCACGGCCGGCTCATAGCCACCCTATAGGATGGCCCTTATTAGAACAGTCCTGGGGAGTTTTAAAGAATCACGGGAGCAAAAAGCAGCCGATGGGCTCGAACCTCCAAACTTGTGGTTAGCAGCCCAACACAGCCCACAGCGCCACGAGAGCCCCAGTTTCGCTCTCATTCTCCACCCCCCGCCCTCCCTTCCTCACGTTGCTGGTGCCTTGGATAGGTGTTCATGCGCATTAGGAGATGTTAAATAAAGCCAAGAAATGGTTTGCCTTCTACTCGAGTGACACCTGGCCTCAAACTTGCCTCCTCTGATCTATTAATATGGGGAAATGAGCAATTCCTTTTTCATCTTCCCCCAGCCAGATCAGCTTCACATACAAAGGATCATTTACTGCAGGCAGTGAGCTCTCCTTTCTGACAAAGTCCAGCCTTTTTTTGGCTTGTTGCCAGTTGGTGGGCTAGATGCTTATTTATGCTACAAAAGTAGTGAAGACCTGCCAGGCTGGATGCCAGGCACCAGGGGTCCAGAGATAAAGGAGGCCTGCTCCTGTGCTCCAGTCTTGGTAGGATGGAGCTTCAGGGGGTCTTGCCACGTGAGCACCTAGTGCTAAGATGTAGACTGCATTCTCAGCCAGCTGGGGTTCCAGATGGCTAACAGTGGACTACAAAGGGAGCAGAGCCCGTCTGCGCCTCCCTGTCCTCCAAGTCCAGTCATAGCCATCCCGTGGGACAGTGAAACTGCAGCAAGTAAAACTTCACGGGAACTCAAAGCCACCAGGCTGGCTGGCCTTTCAGTTAGCAGTCCAAGAGTCACCTGCTAAGCCAGCAGGGTTTCTTAAAAGTCTGTGAGGCCCTGCCATCCAGGTGATTTTGACTCCTGGCGACCCTCCAGGACAGGGTAGAACTGCCCCAACGGGTTTCCAAGACTGTAACTCTTTCCCGGAGTACAAAGCCCCAGCTTTCTCCCGAGGAGCAGTTGGTGGTTCCGAAAAGCTGGCTTTGGGGTTAGCAACACAACACTTGACGCTCCCTAGAGTCTGTGAAATGGGCCCAAGTTTAGGCTAAAGAGAGTCCTTGGGTAGAGTAAAAAGTCGACTACGCAGCTGCTAAGGAAAAGGAGACGGCAGACCCTACCCAGAGACACCTTGGAAGAAAGATCTGGTGACTTGCTTCTGAAGAAGCCACGGCTTTGAACGCCGTGCAGGACGTAGTTGTTCTCTGACACATGGGGTTGTCCTGGGTTGGGCGCCACTACAGCCACTGTCGTTTTAAATGTGTGGCCCCATGGCGTTGTGGTTCTGTGCGGGGCTGCTAACCACAAGGTCTGCAGTTTGTTCTGCAGAACGAGGTGTTCCTCGGGCACAAGAGGAGGCTTTCTTCTCTTGTCAAGAGTGAGTCTCTGAAACCCACGGGGCAGTTCTACCCTGCCCTGTAGGGTTGCTATGAGTCAGAATAGGCTCATTGGGGTGGCCTGCACACCAAACTGGTTTCAGATACCTGAAATCCCGATGAGCAGAAATCCCACGTAGACACAGCACTCACCTGCAAATTGGAATTTCTCAGGAGAACTCCCTTGGCTGCTCCAATTTGGTCTCTCACAAACGGGAGCTTATTCCAATTTTTGGCCTAAGGGAGTTACCGGAAGATCTGATGGGCCCTTGTCCATAGAAAAGGCTGCGTGCAGATCTTGCATTTTTCTGAGCAGCTTCTTTGGCCAGAATGCACTGCCTTTAAGCGAGCAACGGAGGCAATCAAAAAGGCCTATTTGGACACCTGCTCCGTTGCCGGAGAGAATCTCACCAGCTTTTAATTATCTGCAGTCACGATAACCCCATATAACTGTTTATGTCTTCTGGTCATCTTAGGGATGGGCCCCAAAGCTGGCGTTCCAACCTCGTGCTAATGTGTTGGTGTTGTCACACAGGTGATTCATTTCTTGTTAAAAAGAAATCACAAGGCCTGGTGTCTATTGTCCTCACTGGGGTAACTTAGCCG